CTATCATATCTAATCTAAGGGAGCAGATCCTACCTCATCAGAAAGAGGAAGCGCAGAAACTACGGAGTAGGGCTGCCCACTTCATCCTCCAAGACGATGTGTTGCATAAATGCAGATACTCTCTACCCCTTCTGAGATGCATTGGGGAAGGACAAGCAAACTATGTGCTCAGAGAAATCCATGAAGGCATCTGCGACAATCACGTCGGAGGTTGGTCGTTGGCGCAAAAGGTACTTAGGCAAGGGTACTACTGGCCCACCTTGAAAAAGGATGCGCTACAGCTTGTACATAAATGTGACAAGTGCCAACGTTTTGCCACTATACAGAGATAGCCTTCACATGAATTGAATGTGGTATCCAGTCCTTGGCCATTTGTAAAATGGGGGATTGACCTAATCGGGCCATTACCCAAAGGAAGAGGAAGCGCCAATTTCGCCATTATTACTATCGATTATTTCACAAAATGGGTGGAAGGTGAACCACTTACAAAGATAACTTAGGCCAACACCTCCAAGTTCATCTGGAAGAACCTCATTTGCAGGTTTGGTATCCCTCATTCAATTGTATCAGACAACGGCAGACAATTTGATAACAAGAAAATAAGGGAGATGTGCGAGGAATTAGGCATCAAGAAACACTTCTCTTCTCCACATCACCCTCAAGCAAAAGGGTAGGTTGAGGCCGTAAACAAAACCATNGAATTGGGCTTCAAGACACACTTCTCTTCCCCACATCACCCCAGGCAAACGAGCAGGTTGAGGCCGTAAACAAAACCATCAAGTATACCCTGAAAAGGAAACTTGATGCATCAAAAGGGCTTAGGTGGATGAACTACCCCAAGTTCTGTGGGCTATTAGAACCACCATTCAAACTGCCACTGGGGAGACCCCGTTTTCCATGGCATATGGGGCAGAAGCCATGAGCCCCGTTGAGGTGGGTCTTTTGTCACCTAGGAGGATACACTTCAATGAGATAGGTAATGATGAATCAAGAAGATGTGGATTGGATCTCATTGAAGAAATGAGGGATAATTCTCATATCAAAATGGCCATGTACCAGAGGAAAATGACCCGGTATTACAATGCTAAAGTGAAGAAGAGATCCTTCCGAATAAACGATATGGTACTTCGAAGAGTTTTCTTATCCTCCAAAGAGCCAGGGGTAGGAGCCTTGGGACCTAATTGGGAAAGACCCTACCGTATCAAGAGGAAAGTTCGACCTGGAACTTACTGGATCGAAGACATGGATGGAAAGGTTCAGCCTCATCCGTGGAATATCGAACACCTGCAAATGTATTACCAGTGAATGTGGACCACGGCTGGGGGTTTTTCTCAGTTCTTGTAAATAAATAAATACTTTGTGTACAAATGAGTAGCCGAAATGCAAGCAAGCATTGTCACCTTGAAAGAGAGGTTGACATTCCTACAGGGATCACCTCGCTTGAATTTCAAGGTGGACACACATGCCTTCCTTTGACAGCCAAAGCGTCAAGGAAGAAGCCTTTGCATGGATGAGCCATCCAC